AGGTGTCTCCTGACACTGAGCCCTGGGATGCCTAACTGGAACCTGACTGCAAAAAACGCAGTTAGACAAATCCGGATTGTAGGGTGTTCCTTAAGACACTTGGAAAATGAAGGTGGTCATCAGAAAACGGAATCACCAAAAGGCAAGAGTACCATTCCAGATGAAGGAAGTCTGAAGAGGCACAGCAGTGGGTGCACGATTATGATTCAGTTCCAGAATGGAAACAACTATCAAAACATCTCAGGTGCAGTTGGAGGCATTTGAATAGGGACTCGTAATTAGAAGATAATTGTAGGGCTAGCTGGTGGCATGGATGTTAAGGCTCTGGATCCCACATGACCAACTGTGGTTTGAGTCCCAGCTCCTGTAGCCTGAAAAACACACAGGGCATGTGTGCGTGCAGGCCCAAAATCCCAAGTGGAAACGGAGAAGAAATTATTGCAGCGTGGCCATCCCCCTGAGGGATGCTTTCTTTCTCCCTTTCTTTCCGCAAATGTGCATGCCCACTAGCAAATTTAAAAATAAATAAATAAATAAAAGATTATGTTATTCGATCTTAAATCTCTTAGGTGTGTTAATGGTGGTGCAGTTACATAGAAGAATGCCCTTTCATTTAGAAGATATATGTGGCGGTACATAGGGCTACTGTCTTGGCATTTGCAACTTTCAGATGGTTCAGAGAGCATGTGTGTTTGTAGAGAAAGAAAAGGGAAAGCAGATGTGCCAGAAATTGGCAACAGGTGAAGCTGCATGGAGAGTCTACTGCGCACTCTCCTAGTCACCCACCTCTCTGTGGGCCTCAATGTTTTAAGTAAAAATTAGGGGGAAGGGAACCAGGCAGGTGTCATGGGGGTTAAGGCACTGGACATCCAGTGGCTGACCTTGGTTCGAGTCCTGAGCCATATGGCTTGAAAATCATGCCAGGCACATGTGTGTGCATGCCCTGAATCCGAAGTGGAGACTGGAGGAGGAGGGATGGTGATTTCTTACTTCCTCTCTTCTCTTTCTCTAGCAAACACACCCTATAGCAACACTGAAAATAAATACATTCATGTAGAATAAATGATAGACATTGATTTGTTAAAAGAAAAACAGGAAAATACAAAGAGAAAAGTAGAAGTCACCCCCAGATTCTCCTGTGCAGAGATAAGCACAGCGGGCATTTCTGCGAGCCCCCTTCAGGACGTGCTGTTGGCTCTCACTTTGTCTGCCGTCTGTCAGTCAGCTTATCCATCTGTTCATTGTTTTTGTTACCCCTTTTTTTCTGTAATTTTCTTGTGATAGAAACGAGATCATTTGTCCGTACCCCACTTTATGGGCCCAGCTGTGGCAGGCCAGCGGTAGCGCAGTGTTCGACGCTACCATGATGGAAACCGTGTGGACATGCGTGCCTGTAATCCTGGCAGGCTGGGAAAGGCTGGTGAGGCCCTGTTGAGGGGGCTTCTCTCACTTGCTTCCCACCGCTGTGCAGGTCTCGCATACGAAAGGAGGAGATAGACCTTAATAGAGGGCCCCGTGTTCTGGATTCGCTCGTCGTGCCATCACGGCATTAGCATGCTCTTCGTTGTCCCGTTTTCTGTAAACTGGTAGTTGGATCTAGACCCTCATTAGATTCAGCTCCTAGGTTTTAGTTTTGTATTTTGGAAAGAATACATCATAGGTGATGCTCTGTGTTTCCTCCCATGGCCAGTGATTATCTTACGTTTAATTATGTCAAAAGGATAATTACTTTTTTAAAAGAATCATTTTATTTAACTTTATTTATTTTGTTTTTATTTTATTTATTTTAATTTGACCAGAGAGGAACGGTGGAAGAGAGTTGCAGGGGAGTGAGAAAGCAAGCCACCAGGTCTGGGACTCAAACCATGGTTGACCATGTGGGAGTCCAGCACCCTGGACCACCATGCTCCTGCCGGCCCCAAAAGTATAATTACTTTTAATTATGTCAAAACATCTATGTGGTCTCAGAATCAAAAATAGAAAGGTTCCTTAGAGGAGGCGTAGTTTCTTGTCCCTTCCAAGTTTCTTCTCCCACAGGTAACTGTTTTGTAAGCTTTTGGATTTTCCTTCTGGAACATGGCCACGTATTTGTTCGTATTTCAGTTTCTTACACAGAAGCATACTGTACATGCTAAAAAGTGTACCTTAGAGATTTTGTTCCTTTTATAACTGTATAATACTCTATTACATAGATATTGTTTTTATTTATCCTATTCCTGCT